CTATTTAATCTCTCTAACAATTCAGTAAAATGGGTATTATCAATCCATTCTGTAGATGAGGAAACTGAAGCTCAGCACCTTGCACAAGGATGATCAAAATAACAGAATGAGGCAAAACCTGATCCCAAGCCCATTCTTTTTCATTCCAAGCACTTCTCCATTAGTAGTTGCCTATTTGAGACTGGGTTAATTAAATCAAAACAAACAAAATAAACAACTGAATTCTGAAATCATATAGACAAAGGAATGAATTGCTATAGACAAACAAACCAACTGCTTATGTATATAATATTGTACATAGCCCTGTAAGAGTGCAAGACAAGTTTCTTATTCTGTTCTGTGGTTGTAATATGATAGGTCAACAATAACTTTCCAGTAAAAAAGATCATCATAATTTTTAAAATGTATACTAGACTACGCCGAACGTTCCTAAACTTTCTTGGATTCAGACACCATCAGTGGCTGACTAATTTTTTTTCAGGGCACCCTTAGGACAAAAGAAATATTCAACCACTCCATTTTATTAAGTAGTAAGGTCCAAACAACTAAGGTAGTTTATGTAGTCTGACAGATTCTCCGTATTTTCCTTGAAATTTTAAAACAACCTGTGTGCTCCTGTGACTTAGCTACAGCACCCTGGTCCATTAGCACATGGTTTGGGAACTGGAGCGCTAGGCGCATGCCCATCAACGGGGAAAGATCCTATTTCTGTAGCTATGTGGCACATTCAGTTTGACACTTGGCAAAACTATTAAGCCAACTCTTTTACACCTGTTTGTTTTATCCTGTACATACAAAATGAGTTATTTTATTGGATTTTGCCTTCCTGTAGATTTTGTTTATTTCCATATAAAATGTCTTCCTGCAAAAAATTTCCAAAGCATCTATTAGAAATATATGACTAGAAACTTTACACCCAAATAGAAAGGAGAGGGATGGAGGACTGTAGACATTAGTAGAAAGAGAAGCACCTATTCCTTCATTTCTGCCTGTAAAATATGTGCTCTGAAGGAATAGCACTTAACCTGAGGGTGGGTGCAAGGAAGCTGTGTGTTGCGGAACGAGAACCAGAAGCAGGAGTCAGAGGAATTGGTGTTGACCAAACTTAAGACCTTCAACCACCTTATCTCAAACGTCTCTCTGAAGTCTAAAACGTTGGATTAAAACCAACACACATGTTCAAAATTATTTTCAATTTTGGTAGATTTTTTTTTCTATGATGAACAAACATGAAAGTGGTGTCTTTCTGACAACATAAAACTGTTCTGCAGGTCAAAGGTGTGTGTACATTTTATTCCAAAAATAGCTACGTGATACAAGCTGTGTGGTCCGCAGGTTGAGGTTTTTGCTTAAGAGGTTAGGATTCCACTCAGACTTTCCAGCAGAGGCAAATGGACGCTGTCCTTGGATGCTTCAACCATCCAAAGTGTACCTGAACCAATTAATTTCTGTGCCCATTTATTTTACAATTCAGAACTGGAAACTCAGTTGTTTAGTTTTACAAATTTATTTCAAGAACTGTAGTGGTTGTTTACTTAATAAAATGAGCTAATACCCACAAACATAATTTAAAATTGGGATTTTTTTATTACGCAATATAAAATCTGGTGTGTGTTTACATATAGCAACTTAGTTGACAGTTTTAACAAAACTGACAAGTTAAAAATACAGATTATTTGACTAATTTTTTTCCTTGAATGAAATAGTCTCTGAATTGATTGACTAAACCACTGTTTTTACATAATTGTTTTCAAGTTATTATATATATTAAAAGCACTCAATTTAATAATAGATGCCATTATTTTTACCTCCTCAAAAGTTTGGAATTATTTTTAGATTTTAAGAAATAAGTAGGAAAAGCAATAACTAGATATGGATCCATGAAGAAGTGTGGTTTCATGCTTGCTTTCATTAATAGCAAATGCCAAAACAGAATCTGAGATTCTGATAATAATATATCAATACTTGTAAGTTGATCTACATATTCACGGATAAGAGTGGACTACAACATTCTTTAAAACTTTTTTTCTATCTAACCAGTTTGCTCTGAAGTCTCTGGCTGTGCTGCTATTAATTTATTCTTACATTGTTTAATGATGTGCATTCTAGCAGTTAAGAGAGAGTCCAGCAACTACATTCCACAGGTCTCCATTCCACACCATATTTCTACCATTACATTTCTTAAAGGGAAAAATACCTTTATGTCCACTTAAAGCTTCCTTTTTGGAAAACAGGAGATGTTAACACAATCTATGATGGTTAGGTTCCCAACTTGTGTTTTTATTTTGTTTTTTCCCTGTTGAGAACATTTTAACTTTCTTGTGTAGTTTCAGAGATTTTTATTTTATTTATTTTATCAAGACACATTGTCTAAATAAGAAAATTTGTCATCAATACTTTCTATGAATCAATTGATGAAAAGCATTTGAGTTTTTGATACTAACAAACAGTATATCTTTCATATTTACTTGAAACTCAAATCAAGGTAGGTTGGTCAGTCTCTTTCACTGAGAACTATGTAATATTACTCGAAACAACTGACAACCAGAGATGTCACCTATGGTTGACAATTATGGGGGGAATGACATAGGAAGGCCCATTGAGGAGAGGAGATGGCAAGATTTGTTTCTTTCTCTACCTGTTCCTTTCTTGCAACTTGGTTAGGGAGGAAATTGTCTGGACTATTTATCGCTTCCACCCAGTTCCTCATTTAAACTGACTCAAAGTGCCAGAGCGTCAACAAGGGTGGCACTTTCTTTTGCTACCTGCTTCTTCTTAGTTTTAGAGTTTGGCATGATGCTAGTTTCAAGCTTGCCAGCAGCTGTAGAGGCTTTATTCTATTTTATTTCCAAGGTTACAAAAGAAGTGGTATCATTTATAACTTTAAGCACGGAAGGTATAAATATCAAATGGTTAATATACTAACAATTTTAGAAAGGGGAAAATTTCTCCACGCCACATTACATTAACACTGAACAAATGTAGTATGCCAACTCTGTCAAATGGGAGTGAGGCAGAGGTGTTTGTGACCTTTTCCAGACCTACAGTTGTGCTATTGTTCATACTCAATGTGGTTTTCTCTTCAGCACAATATTTGCTAATGGGACTTATTTCTACAGTTGCTTAAAAAATTTCTTTTTGGAAAACAGAAGTAATCTATATGTATATATTGCAGGTGCAGTCTGAGGCAACTGATGATTTTTAAAAGTGATGGGTTTTTTTCATTTTAGTAACCAAGGTTACCAAAAACACACTGGCAAGACCTGTTTAACGTAAATAGTAATTCCTTGGGAAAACAGAAGTAAAACAAAAAAAGCTTTTATGATTAAAAACTCAAGAATTTAGTTTAGCAATAGAAGTTAAAATTCTATTCTCAGAATTTAAATACTTAGAATATATAGTTTATAAAGTTAATCATAAAAAAGTTGGTGTTTCTGGATGAATAGATCTACAAAGATAGAATGATATGGCAAAAAATATTAAATGAATCAATTAAGCATCCAGAGTGAGAACACCATCTTAGAACATAGGGAATAAAAGTCAAGAGAAAGATGTGCAAAAGCAGTGTAAAAATTACGAAGGGCAAAGTCCCATGCAAGTGTGAATTTTCAGTCCTGACTTCAGTTCACTTTTACCTAAACTCTATAGTTACAATCTATTCATCTCAAATGGCTTTATATATTTAAAGAATTACGTCTCATTTTTTCAATATTAGAGAAAGGTTTAAAGAGTAGGAATAAATGTTACAACGTTAAAATCTAAAACATCACTTAGCAGAAAACTTAGATCAGATTTCTAGTAATGTTGGATAGAGTTTCTCAAATGAAATACCTACTGAAGCAAGGCAAGATGCTAATGGAACAATTTATTCACATTTAAATGAACCAAAATCTACTGGAATTTATGAAATAATGTTCTATATAAATATCAAAAATGATAATATTTCACTAGTTGTTTTCAACAGTGCTCTACTTTTATCAATGAAAATATTTCACTCAACTTGCTTTCTCTGTGTTCTTTCTGGCCATGGTAATGATGTTCTAGAAGATATATAGCTTAGCAGTGTAGCTCCTCTTTGGAATTTGTTACTATTTTTATCTAACAGATTATAGTTGGCATTTTGGCTATTTAAATTTTAGAAAACGAAATATTAGATTGTTTCTAAAACTAACAATGTAAAGTTTTGATTTTGGTAAGAAAGAAAAAAATCATAAAATCACAGGCATCTGAAGTTAATAAGCAATATAAAAAGTTATCTTGGTATAACATTATTCAGTGCAAAATGCCCTTGTACTGTTTGTCATGAGTGCTCATTCATACATTCAACAAAAAGCTGAATGTTCTACTACAAGTTTAGACATAACAATGAATAAGACAGAATCGGCACCTGCCCTCATAGAACTTACAATTAAAGTGAAAGAGAAAATATACAGCATCCAAAGGAACCAAGAGAAAGGTACTTAACCAGGTCAGGCAAGCTCTCCCTGATCTTAGGTGGAAAAGGTTCAGAATAGTAAGAAGAATGAACTGGCAATGCAAGTCCAGAGTCAAGAAAGAGTATGGTCTGGTGTAGAAAAGAAAACTAGTGAGGATTAGGCTGTAACCATAGGGAAGAGATGGATAACGGAAGGCCAACTAATTCACATTAGGAAACTTGGGTTTATTTTTAAAGGCAATGGAAAGGTGTTGAAAAGCATATTCTTTTCTTATCTATGCAAAAATAAATTGAACCCGAAAATTATATTCATATTAAGAATACACTGGAAACAGATGTTAGGAAACTGAATTACAAATAGCAAATATTTGCTTCAGAAGCATAGAAATAATCTAAGTGCTTTTAATAACAACATAAATCCTTTCTACATCTTCTGTGTGTTTCCTTTTTAAAATAAAAATGCTATATGGGTGACCTCATTTCTTGGTGTGGCAAGAACATTAGATTGCCTAATTTAAAGCCATGCCCTCCACCCACTCCCAAGTGGAAAATCAATGGTACTTACTACATCCAGCCTTATAGCTGAAGCCTGGAGGAAGGAGGAATCCTTGCTGGGCAGCTGCAGCCAGTGTCCGTTGATCAGGAGGGAATACGGGAATCATTAATGGTGGCAGTTGACCTTGAACCTGCTGAACGTGATAGAGCGAATCAAAGAGAAGAAGTTTTGGTGTTCCATGCTTCCCACCCTCCTTACTTCATGATAAAAGAAAGTCATTTACTGAATTCAACATACTGGCATACAAGCTTGCTAGAACACTGGGCTTGAGGCCTTGCCTTGGGACTACCTTAGGCAAGAGAATCAGAATATATCATAGTTGGAAGGTTATTATTAAGTTCACTCTCTCAGCTGATGAAGAATTTCCCTACATGATATCCTTGACAGTGATAAGTGTCACTACTTCACACAATAAGCCTTTTTCTTATTGCATTAAGGTAACGGTAAAAAACTATCCCTTAGGTTGAACTAAAATCTCCTGTAAATCTCACCTATTAGGACTAATTCTACCTTCTAAAGGAAAAATAACTAAACTGGTATCATTTTATACATGAATAGCTCTTCATTATTTGAAGATAATTCTCGTGATCACACACAATACCGACATTTTTTAAATTCTTGAAGAAAAGAGCTAGTTGAAAGCTTAGAGAGTAACTAAGACTTTCCCCTCTCTTTAGAGAAGAGGTAACTGGGGCCAAAAGAGAACTGACTTGCTCATAGCCATGGGATGGCATAGTCAGAATGAAGTCTAGAATCCAGCCCCTTGAGTCCTACTCTGTACTATACGGTCATGCATCACTTAATGACAGGGATACCTTCTGAGAAATGCATCGTTAGGTGATTTCGTCGTTGTGGGAACATCATAGAGTATAATTATACAAACCTAGATAGTATAGCCAACTACATACCTAGGCTATATGGTACTAATCTTATGGCACCACCAACAGATATGCAGTCCGTTGCTGACCAAAATGTCATTATGCAGTGCATGACTGTACTTTTGTCTTCATCTATCCTTTTCCAAGCAATTGAACCATTCCTCAAAGCCATAGCATGGCCTCTGTTTTGGTTGCCATCTTTGGAATACACTTTAATTTGCTGGCATCATTTTCTGAATATGGAGTTCACAACAGTAAAGAAATAATCCAGCACAATGGAATCACTGTCTTCTTTGAACTGAGCAAGAATTTCTAGAAATATAACCTAATGCAGTCCTTTCTGCAGCTATTTCACACTACTGACTAATGCAGAGGTTATCATTAACAAAAATAACTAGGATTTTTTGCCCCAAAATATGTAAGTAAGATCTGCCTGGTGAACATGATTATTGGTTAGTGTTTATCAATGAATGTATGAATGAGAATTTAGGGTCATGCTAACAATCACATATCTGAGACTTTATTCTCTCTTACTACTCCTTCCACACATTAATTCAGCTATTTGGAAAATATTTAATAAACATCTGCTATGTATAAGAAAATGAGCTAGGCAGTAGGGATATAACAGTGAACAAGAAAACCAAGATCTCATGCCCACAGATCTTATATTACGGTGGGCATAATGGTAAAAAGTACAACAAACAAATATACAAAAAATTTTACAAATTCATTCAGTCGTTAATTCTAACGGCAACTCTGAAATATCTCTCAGACTTTCCCTTTCTCCCAGTGGCACTGCACATTCTTAGGGCACTTAGGATTCTTACAGTTGTCATCATTTCTCACTTTAAAAGTCCACTTTCAGTTTCTCCTTCATTTCATCTTTCAAAGTAGCCCTCTGAACTATTTCTGAGATTTTGGTTGGTAAGTGTGCATGTTGGGGGAGTGGTTTGAGACAGAGAGAGGGAGAGAGGGAGAGAGGGTAGGAGGAGGGAAGGGAGGGGGAGACGGGGAGAGAGAGAGAGAGAGAGAGAGGGAGAAATGAGCATCATAAGAATGAGAGATCTCACTGCTGGGTATTTATCCAAAGAACATGAAAACACCAATGCGTAAAGATACATGCACCCCTATGTTCACTGCAGCATTATTCACAATAGCCAAGACTTGGAAGCAATCTAGGTGCCCATCAAGGGACAAATGGATAAAGATGTGGTATATATACACAATGGAATACTACTCAGCCATAAGAAACGATGAAATCCAGCCATTTGTGACAACATGGATGGATCTTGAGGGTATTATGCTAAGCGAAATAAGTCAGAGGGAGAAAGTCAAATACCATATGATCTTACTCATAAATAGAAGATAAAAACAACGACAAACAATTGCATGGAGACAGAGATTGGATTGGTGGTTACTGGGAGGAAAGGGGGTAGGGTGGAGGGCGGAAAGAGGATTGGGCTGTAATTAGTCTTTGGGTGGTGAACATGATGTAATCTACACAGAAATCGAAATATAATGATGTACACCCGAAATTTATATAATGTTATAAACCAAAGTTACCGCTAAAAAAAAGGAATGAGGGAATCTGTTTTCAGCAATGACTTCAAATTGGAAAGCACTTCTTTTAGCTAAAAAGATTTTAAATCTATCACTGCCACTAGGGTGAAACTAAAAGGGAATGACAACAACTAGGGAAACAAACAGACATTGTTTTAAGGTTAGAGTTGAAGGTTTCACCAATACAGCCAGCGTTTTTTGAGCATACTAGAAAAAAGATAAACCTTATGGAGAAACCAATGGAAAACAATTAACTAAAGACTCAAAAAATAGAGACTGCACGTTGAGCAAGTATGTAGGAATAAGTGGCCTGAAACAAGAGGTAGACATCCAAAGGCAAAACAGCATGGGGGCTAGCTCAGCGTAAGCAGAGGATGCTGACCAGAATAACAAGCAAACAAAGAACCAGACAACAAACCAGTCACACTGGTTTATCACCAGCTACTGTATATCCTTTATACTTTATTGTTTGTAAGTTATATTTTATATAGTACATCTCCTCCTTTGTAAGACACCATTGATTATAAGATGGATCATAGATTTAATAAGGGCATTTTAGAGAGCAGAAGAAAGAAACTTCAAGTGAAACAGATACTAGTGTTAGAAGAGGCATACAAATTTCAGATACCTTAAAATCTGGGAAAAATAATTTCTAGAATTGCAGAAACAATAGGTTCTTGTTTTAGTACAGTAGTTCCCGAACTTGAATGTCTATTAGAATCACCTGGCAAGTTCTGAAAAACTCTCAATGTCCAGACTGCTTCCCAGACCCATTAAATCCAAATCAACAGGGGTGACATCCAGCCATCAGCATTTTTTATTTTCCCTGCTGACTCCAACGTGCATGCAGGTTTGAGAAGTACTGTCTTAAGGAACGCTTTCAGTCACTGTCAACAATCTTTTTGTCTTCTTCATGTTTTGCCTTGAGTTACAAAGCACCTTCAGATATATAAATAGTTGAAAGGCAGACTGCCTGACTTTTATAGGCTCTGGTGCCCACAGGATAAAATCAGCTATGAAGCTATAGTTCTCACAGAATTTCTTCTAAATGAGTCTTGTATCTGTATTTTACATGCCCCTCTTGTGAAAGACTCTTGACGGTTTGCTTTTACCCAGAGAATAACAAACAATTCCCTCAGCATGGTATTCAGGATTCCTCACAACTGTCCCCAGCCTATCTTTCCAGGCATTTCTGCTGTCCTTCTTCAGATATCCTGTACTCTTGCCTCAATGGATCATGAAGCCTTCCTTCTGGACTCGGTGTTTTTCCACGCTTGAATGCATTCAAAACTATTTTCTCCTCTGCTCTGAGTGATTTCTCTTTCCCTTTTCTTCTTGGCAAAATTCTGCTTATTTTTCAAAGGCTTTTGAGACCCACAAAGTGTTTTTGCTTGTGAAGCACTTCTTTCTTATGGTGCCAATTTTCAGGCAGAAAGAACTGTTGCTTCTTTTAACCTCATAAAGCTAATACAATACTTACTGTATTGAATAATAGTTGCTTGTATAACTTGAGTTTCCCTTATGACCTATGAGCTTATTTAGGAAAGAGGTTGTAACTTATTTATTATTGTAGCTTTAGAGCTTAGAACAGCAACTGAAACCTATGATAGGTATTGATAGTTCATAAGTAAGGAAGAAGAATGAATTACATAGTTTCATCTTGCTAATTACATCTTTGCGCACCAACTTCAAATGTCCACAAAAAGCCTTTGGACGACAAAGTTAATGACCAGAAAGAAATTCAATTTCCCCAGAGAAGAATGGCAGCATGAAGTACTAATTGCTTTATGTTCTTATTCTTCAGCTATAGCTAAATGATCTTATACGTTATGGTATATAACCATGACTCTTGGAATTACGCATGCATAAAGAGATAGAAAAGTAATCCAGAAAATTAGAAATTTATTACATACTTCTGCAATGGACAGATATACCTACTTACCATGTTCTAGTATCATGATGTTTTAATTATTATAGCTTTGCAATATGTTTCAATAATAGGTAAAGTTAGTACTCTATCATTTCTTTTTCAAATATTTCCTGGCTTATTTTTACATTTATTTTTCCACATTACTTTTAGGATATGGAATTTCTATTTGGATTCATTAACATGATGGCTTAATGGCTAATAGCAAGTTACATCTTTCAATTTATTCAAATATTCTTTTGTTTTATATAATTCTTGTAGTTTTCTTGGTAATTTTATTTTTAAGGTTTTTTAAAAAATATTTTTATTTTTATTGTAAAGGGTATGTTTTCTTGTTATATTGTTTAAGTGGTTGTGTGTACATAAGGCTATCTACTTGTGTGTGACAGTTTTTATTCAGGTAATTTATTTATATTCTAATAACACCATAATTTTTCAGGTAAAAATATTAGTATTTTAAAGAATAAACTACAATGAATTATACGGCTTTTTGAAATCTGTGTATTCTAAATTTTTGTCTTATGATTATGAAATGCATTTTTCTTTAGTATTATAAATTGTTTTAGTGTCTAAATTTTCCAAGATCTACATATATGGAATAACAGACTTTTAAGGCTGAGAAAGATCCTAGAGATTCTCTGTCACAACACAATCATTGTGCTGATAAAGAAATAAGACTTAGCTTGGCCACATAAATTGTTCAAGATCCCACAGTTAGGTAAGAAAAAAGTTAACAGGAGAACTACATCTCCTAACTCTTAATCTAGC